AATTCGTCTTTTACTAACATTCCCAGCTAACTCACTCACCCGGAGAATATCAGTGACACTCTGGGGACAGACATTTGAATAATCAATGTAGCAACCACTACGGACTGGATTCGAACCCGGGTCGCTGCAGCACAAGCGCTCTCGCTTTATTAGATGCGCCTACTGTACTACTAAGTACTACTACAAGTAAACAGACATTTTCCATCGATGAAAGCACAAATTATATGGATTTAAAGACTGTGAATTGCTGAGTAGTCTTAATATAGGCGCAGTAAGCGGCACAGTTCCGTTCGTTGGTGGCAGAATGTGAATGTGCAGAACTAGGCTATGTTTCAGTAAATGCAGATTTACTGCAATGCGTAACATTTCTCTGCCCGTTTTGTCTCTACGAGCTTCAAGTCTCAATGCACTGCACAAGTGTTTCTAATATAAAACGCAATGAAAGGATTTGGCGGTTTGAGGGTCTTGCAGTACGCTGCGGATTTAAATGTGACGCATGAATAGAAAATATTTTAATACATTTTACGTTGTTACTTTTCATGCAGTTAACGTCTCTGAAGTTATTTGACATTTTATTTTTTGTGCCATTTTAAGAACTGGTCAGGATAATTTTTTATAATTTGTTTAGTAATTCATAGTATTTTGACAGGCCAAAGGGCTGCATTCCATGCATTCATAAAGAACCATTAATGGCAAAAAAAAGTGTGTTGGTACTGTTGCATTGGAGTGTATTAGGAATATACTACATACGGGTAAAAAATGTATAGCCTGAATGCACTGTAAGTCGCTTTGGATAAAAGCGTCTGCTAAATGCATAATTTATTAAATTATTACCAAAATAAACCCTCTGATCAAGTACGTGGATGTCTTTCACCATTTCAAACTAACAGCTATATGTTTACATCTTTACTTTTGAAACTACTTTCTGTATGTATGTCAAGCTGCTGTGCAACCATGCAAAATTGTGAAAAGCACTAAATGTGAAGTGTGGTTAAATTATTAAAAAAGGTAAAGGTCATAATTATAAAAAAAGTACTGCATGATTATAAATTATTATTATTACTTGCTCATTAACTCAAAATATTTATATACTATTTTTATACTCAACAAGTAGAACTCAAATACAGTGTATTGTATTGTACATTTAATCATAACAGGTCAACAGAGGATTCAACTAAAATAAATTACTGAAGTATTACTTCAATATTTAACAAGTTTAATTGTTTTATTTGTAAATCCTCCATTGTTACATTTGTGCTGTAGGCAAAAGTTGTGTTTGGAAAGTCTGCCCTTACAGCACCAGTTAGCAGAAACATACCGGATGTTTCAATTCACACCTCACATTTTCTTCGGTTTGCCCAAAAAAAAAAAAAAAAAAAAAAATTCCACTGCATCATCTTAAAATAATTTCAGCATTCTCAGATTTGAAATACATGGTGAGACTTGTGTCTTTAGCTGCAATGAGTTTCTAGACTCTAAAGGTTTCTTCTGAAAATTGTGCCAAATCTGCAACACAGATTCCCAATAGTGTGCACTCTACTGAGTTCAGATGTTTAGCAAAAGTTCAGCAAAACCAATTGTTGGTGAATTTCAGAGCTCGTGAAAGTATAAGGAGAGGAGAGACTGACTTATCAAGCCCCCTTCACTGAACATACTGTAGCCTATATTTAGGCCGATGTTAAAATCAAATTATTACAATACTTAAGACACTTTTAAGGGGTGAAGGAACAAACAAATATCAATACACAGAATGTGATATTGTCTCTTGTGCCATAGTCATTGCATAATGCATAGGCCTTGTTTTCTTAAATGATATGACAACATACAATACAAACAATCCCCACAGACATACATTATACGGCCTTCACAGCTACAGGATCATAAGATACGTTGCTTCATTCATCCCTTATCGACAACTGTTGGGCTGAGTGAGCATGGACATGTCATTGGGGTTATGAAGTAGCGTCCTCTTTCAAAGGTTCCGTTCAGTTAGTTTATATGGGTATGTGTTACGGAGCCGACGAGACGAGAGGCGTGCAGGTCCATATGCAAAGCTTTTATTCTAGAACAAAGTCAAAACGAGCAAGGGTCAGATTATGGCAAACAGGTGTATTGAGGGCAAGACACAAGAGTAGTCCAGTGAGCGGGCGTGGTCGATCTCCGGCGAACAATGTCCAAACAGGGTATTCCAAAGGGTTAATACGAAACACAGGCTATGGTCCAGGCGAGGGGCAAACAGTATTAGAACAGGGCGAGACGAGAGGGATAATCCAGGACAGGCAAAAATCAGGAAACAGGCAAACAGGAAACTAGACGAGACTAGACTAGACTAGACAACTAGAACTCAAACTAGGAACGGGAACTGGCTCTGCAAAGTAGCTATCGACTAGGGTAGCGATATGCGCTTACAATACTCGGCCGTGAGAGAGAGGAAGTCCATGGCTTATGTAGCATGTCTGATTGGATTCAGCTGTGTGTGTAATCAGTGCATTCAGCTGTGTGTGTGTCTAATCAGTGCAATGGATGATGGGAACTGTAGTCCGGGTCAAGTGCAACAGTAGTGTGGTGCAAGAGTCCATATAGTGAGCGGGTGATCTCTGGTGGTGAGCGAACGGAAGTGCATGGACCGGATTCGTGACAGTATGTATGTGTGAAAATCACTTTTAACAAGTTTCAAACATGTTGTAGATGGAATTCAGAACCTAGCCAGTGAACTTTCTTAAAGATGAATATATATATTTAATCCTTCCCCAAATGCATTTGTAAAAAATATAGTATTTTACAAATGAATTTGTGCTTGAGGAAAGCACGAAATAACTACATTTAGAATGTATTTTCAGTTAGTATAGACATGTCAATCTATTTTTAGTATACTTATCATAAATTAAATATATTTGAAATAGAATTAAGTATATTTATTTTTCACTAGGGATGTCTTTGCTGTAATTTTCTATTTAATGCATCTTTGCCAAATAAAAGCATTAAAAAGCACAAAAAAAATCACAGTGATCCCAAACTTTTGAACAGTAGTATGATATAACAAGTTTAAAGAGAAAACCAACTGTGAAACTGATTTAAAGTCATGAGAGCTTTACTTCAAGCAATATAATATTTGCAGATATTTTCAAATATATTGGTAATATTTCATAGATTTACAAGATGTTGCAGAAGTGTGACTATTCAATCCATCCAAGTTTGATTCAAAGTTGGCTGGTGCTTCCATAAGTGAGATGAGATTCTGGTGAACTGTGATCTTGCAACATTAAACAAGCTGATCTGAATACCGATAAGAATGACTGAGTTGCTTCTCAACACAGTTCATTTATTGAGTACATGTTCCAGCAATCTATGAATTTATCAACAGATACTGGAGAGAGGAAAAAAAACACCTCATTTACTTGTGTGGTGCAGTGTATTATATAATGCAGTTACTGTTTTGATCAACTGAATCAAAATGATTTTTTTTTTCTTAAATGGGATGTTTGCCAGATGACTGGAAAATGGGATGACTTTGGATGAAATAGTCTTAAAACTCATGGCTCTTTATTAGCATTGATCAATCTATGAGGAAACTTTAACATTCATTAACCTTTTCATTCTACAAAATGTTCTTTTATAGTGGAAAAATGTATTTCAGAATATTAGAATGTTTATTACACTAAGACATTTTTTTTTCAAAAAAATGTTCTGTGGCTTTGTTGAGAACAGCGGCTTCTGGAAACTTTTTTTAAAAAAGAATGTATTAGAAGGGTGTGTGTGAAACTTATGATACGGGTAAGAGGAAGACAACTTGTTATGTGAAGATTTCTGGGTATTTTAGGTGGACAGGATGTTCAGTGGTTCTGATAAAGAGGATATGAGAAGGGGAACAAAACTAGACAGATCTCTACTTTTGCATTATATTTAGTTACTATTAACGGGCAATAGTGGCACTAACTATTTATCAAATGTTACCTTTAAATGGTTTCTCCCATTGCATTGTACGCTATGAGGAAATTCCTGTTTACTCCGAGTACTGAAGCCTGATTTGTTCATATTTGCTGCACAAACCAATGGCGCTTCAAACCACCAACAGGGGTGTAGCTGACTGCTATATAAATCAGCTCTGAGCCCCATTTCATCAGAAGTTTCTCCTTCAGTGTGAAGATCGTCTCCTCACTGGACTCTGAAGAAGCAAGAAGCTTGAAGCCTGCTCACCGTAGAAGAGCCCCGGCAGCCCTACTTGCCTCTTCCAGCACTTCCCCTGCAGCCATTTGTGACTAAAAAAGAGCAAATTCCTAGAGCAAAATTCAAGCAGCGTTGTTTCAAATATCGCTATCCATGAGTGTAGCTCATGCAGGGAACCCCTGATTGACTCAGGCAGGCATGGGGATGTAATGCTTTCATTGCGAGAGAATGAGTTTCGCCGTGCTTCGCACACAGATCACCTTCTTTCATAAAGGCAACCCTGATCAGTGTTGTCAGTGAGTTAATTCGCATGCAAATTCCTCATGAAATCCATGGAGGAACTCGGCCTGGATTGGTTGGCTCCTGAAGAGCTCACCAACAGCTGATTAGACGGCAAGCTCCCCCTCTGGAAGAGGCGGTTGTTGGGCATCTCGCCCTCCATTGGCCCTGGGATTGAAGGCACATTCGGTGCATCCATTTAAGCCATGCAGGACCACCTCTGCTCTGGCGGGTAGAATTTATTCAGCAGCTGGCTAGGCTGGCTCAGCGGCACTTCACATGATGCCGGTGATTCCTTCAAGGAGCTGCACACATCGACTGATCTGGCACTGAGCGCTACAAAGGGCACTGCACAGGCGATCGGCATGGCGATGGCCAATTTGGTGGTGCTGAAGCGCCACCTTTGGTTGAATCTGACAGAGATCAAAGACGCAGACAAGATCACCTTCCTTGACTCCCCGGTGTAAACATGCCAATAAGAGACTATTAACTTCTAGCATAATATCATCTAAATCATATTATTTATTATAATACTTAAAATGTTTTACATTTTTGCAAGATTTTTATAAATATCACGATATATCATTGTCATTAGTATTTTTTGACCACGATAATTGTGTAGTGGAAAACCTGATATTGTGACGGTTATCGTGACCCTAGTTCACAATGTTAACTTTGAAACAGATCCTCACGTAAGTATGCCCCGGGGGCTGGTTCTTATCGGCGTATCAGAAAGATGCTTACTTTCACATCTAGAAATCCCCTCATCACAGACCCTTCTTGAGATTTGCGTTCGAGGCGGTGGCTTATCAATATACAGTCCTACCATTTGGACTGTCTCTGGCCCCGCACACTTTAACGAAGTGCATTGATCTGGCTCTTTCCCCTCTGAGGCAGATGGGAATCCGCATTATGAACTACCTCATATGATTGGCTGGTATTAGTCAGATTGGAACAGGAACTTCTCGCTCACAGGTCGCTGTTGCTCAACCACCTGGAGCATCTTGGACTGAAAATCAATTTAGCCAAGAGCTCTTTGTCTCCCAGCCAGTGAGTAGACTTCCTGAGGACAATTATGGATTCAGCCCAAATGCGGGCATCGATTATGCCAGAATGCTCACTAACAGTTCCGCGGCTGGTGTCGTTATTCAAAGTCGAGACTTCCTGTACCCTCAGAGTACATAGGATAGGATGCTCGGCCTCATGTCAGCCGAGACGGCTCTGTCATTCCATTGGGTCTGCTTCATATGCAGCCCCTACAAATCAAGGTAATCAGCTTCAAGGTAACCCAATGCTGCACCAGAGCTGTGGCCCCTTGGAAGACATCCCACCTGTTTCAGACAGGTGTCCCATTGGGACCCTGGGACTGACCTCAAGCGGGAAGGTGGTTATGACAGATGCTTCCAACTCGGGTTGGGGCGCACTGTATAAGGCGAAAATGGAGCTCGGCTCCTGGTTCAGCCTGAAGTAATGCCTACACATCAACTGCCTAGAGATGATGGCGGTTTTTCTAGTTCTAAAAACCTTCCTGCCAGCCTTACTGGACACCACTTACTGGTCTGCTTGGACAACATGTCGGCGGTAGCTTTTATAAATCTCCAAGGTGGAGTGAGGTCACGCTTCCTATACAGGATGACGAGACACCTCCTCCTGTGGGCACAGTGCAATCTACTCTCACTGAGGGCAGTTCATGCGCTAGGCAGACTGAACCAAGGAGCAGACATACTGTCCCGGGCCAATGTATTTCCAAGAGAAAGGATACTACACCCCCAAATGGTTCAAACGATCTGGTCTGTATTCGGGAGAGCAGAGGTAGACCTCTTTGATTCAGAAGACAACTCTCACTGCCCAACATATTTCTCAAGGGAGCAGGATGCCCTGATCCACGAATGGCCCAGTGCTCACCTTTATGCTTTTCCTTTGGTTGACCTGCTCCCTCAGGTCATCAGACGGGTCAGGGAAGTCAGGTGCTCAGTCCTCTTAACATGATTTTGGAGTCTAGAGCCCTTCTACAAGATGCCTCTACACCCTTAAATGGTCAGTGTTTTCTGAATGGTGTTCAGCACCTCCTCTTTTGTCATGTCATCTGTGTTAACCTTTATGCAAGAGCTGCTGGATAAGGGGAATACCAACAATGCAACGGCAGAGAACATCAGAAAGGATATGCTCTGGTTACTAATGTTACCTCTGTTCTCTGAGATAAGAGACAAAGCGGTGCGTTACCAGTCATGCTATAAGGCTGCACGCGAGTCGACGACTGTCGCTATTAAGATTCTGATGAAATGGAGTTTCCCCATAGTGCAAAATGCAATGCTCGTTCCCTTATCTCAAGGAACTGAGGTTACGTCAGTAACCCGAGCGTTAACTTCCTAGTAACAGAGGAGCTTCTTAGATAGGAAAATTATATAACCAATCACAGTGAGGTATGTTAACTTTGACCATGTTTTATCCCTCATTATATAAACTTTTAGGTGGACGAGTCTCTGTGCTACGACTAAGAAGGCTCCTGACCGTCAAATAAACTCAACACAAAGCAAAGCAGCAAGGTAAGGCACTAATGATCCCGATGCTCAATGTCTGATTTCACATAGAAATAAAGAATAACAATCTGAAAAGAAAGAAGCTTTAAATAAATATTTTAACGTGCGTGAAAAAATCCAACCACCTATAGATTTAAGTTTCACTTTCCATAATCCGTGACCGACAGGAGCATCTTGGCGGCAGGAATTTAAAACTTTAACAAGACTCAAATTGACAGACAGAGTGAAAGACTGGATTTTTTCGATCAGGTAGGGTACAGGTGATTTCAAAACATTTCAGCCGGTTTATTTATATCGTGTATATATGTACGGTGATTATCTCTGAGTGCGAGCAGGACCAATAACAATGCAGAATATTAATGACTACGACTGGGACTTTCATATACATAACATTATAATGAGAACACTATTACAATAAAACGCTGTGAATTTTTAGAGTTTAGTCGCCGTGTTTCTGCACGTTGTTGCGTGAAAAACGCGTCCACAAAAGGGGTTCATTCAGATCTGTGCAGACACGTTTATGTGCATTCGGGGCATTTTGTGCCGATAGCCTATAAGTCGTAATATTAACGTTATGTTGTATAAATAACAAAGCGTATTCTATATGCCATAAATGATGAGTTAAATCCCATTGATTAAGAACCTGCTATCAAATGCTTCATTCTACTGGTCATCTTCAGCGCTCGCAGCTCAAAACAAAAATGCAGAGCATTAATAACTACTGTCATATAGGCCTACATAACATTATAATGAGAGCACTATTGTAAAAAATGTTGTGAATTAGACTGGATTTTTTCGATCAGGTAGGGTACAGGTGATTTTAAAACATTTCAGCCGGTTTATTTATATCGTGTATATATGTACGGTGATTATCTCTGAGTGCGAGCAGGACCAATAACAATGCAGAATATTAATGACTACGACTGGGACTTTCATATACATAACATTATAATGAGAACACTATTACAATAAAACGCTGTGAATTTTTAGAGTTTAGTCGCCGTGTTTCTGCACGTTGTTGCGTGAAAAACGCGTCCACAAAAGGGGTTCATTCAGATCTGTGCAGACACGTTTATGTGCATTCGGGGCATTTTGTGCCGATAGCCTATAAGTCGTAATATTAACGTTATGTTGTATAAATAACAAAGCGTATTCTATATGCCATAAATGATGAGTTAAATCCCATTGATTAAGAACCTGCTATCAAATGCTTCATTCTACTGGTCATCTTCAGCGCTCGCAGCTCAAAACAAAAATGCAGAGCATTAATAACTACTGTCATATAGGCCTACATAACATTATAATGAGAGCACTATTGTAAAAAATGTTGTGAATTATTTTAATCAAAACATAAAACATAATTTTTGTATCTGCGAGGCATCCGTTACACATTTTCCCTGTGTGTTAACGTCAGTATTTATGACTGTCAAATGTCTGACTTGACTCTTGGTAACGTATTTTGCCCCCCGCCCCCAAAACATATGATTTGACTATCAGTCGATTATCGGCAAGACTTTGTAAATCCTTAGTCGGGGACACCCCTACATCTTTACAAATCATTTATAATAATTTGTTCATGTTTTTGAAGTACCTAATCTAAAGTGGAAACTGTTCATCATCTGTAAATGTTTTTAAACGTTTACTAATAATTTAGTATGTTTACGGGCATTGGATTTATAGCTGCTGTAACAATGTTTGTGTAAAAGGTTTTTAGTTAAGTTTATAGGTAAATGCTTGATAAAGGCAACACACATTGTAACTTGGGTGCAAAACATGTTTTTATTGCCTCAACACTTATATTAGTATACTACTACTGTATATCATTAAACAGGATATTCCTTGAATCATACAGCATAGGAGAAAATAAATCAGTTTTCAAGAAAACACTTGTTCATGTAAACAATGTAATATAAACAGATTGAACTGTGTTCCCTTATAGTAAATCAAACTGACCCCTGTACACTGTTGACCACTTAACCAACCCTTAAACCTCCCCATATCACCAAACCTGTCCCTAACCCTACCCGTATCACACCCCAGCTGCAAAAGTGTTGTACATCAACAAAAGCTTTTAATCATTGTACAACATCTGTTAAAATGATCTGCAGATTTTCAAGAAGTGCATGATCATATGCGTTGAAAGTTTAATGACATTTATAAGCATTTTAATTTACATGAAGTAATAATCTGTTAATCATTAGGTAATGTTTAATACGTTCATCAGTAAATATTAACAACCACATTATCTCATGTTTCTAGCTATTTGAATATTAGGGGTGTCCCTGTCTAAGGATTTACAAAGTCGAATCGGAATTTTTGAATCTTGCTGATAATCGAATCATATGTTTGGGGGCGGGGGGCAAAATACATTACCAAGAGTCACGTAGCCAGACATTCGACAGTCATAAATACTGACGTTAACACACAGGGAAAATGTGTAATGAACGCCTCGCAGATACAAACATAATGTTTTATGTTTTGATTAAAAGATAGTTAACATTAAACGTCAGCTAAACCCAAAGAATTCACAACATTTTTTACAATAGTGCTCTCATTATAATGTTATGTAGGCCTATATGACAGTAGTTATTAATGTTCTGCATTTCTGTTTTGAGCTGCGCGCGCTGAAAATGACCAGTAGAATGAAGCATTTGATAGCAGGTTTTTAATCAATGGGATTTAACTTATCATTTATCGCATATAGAATACACTTCATTATTTATACAACAATGTTAATATTACGACTTATAGGCTATCTACACAAAATGCCCCGAATGCACATGAACGTGTCTGCACAGATCTGAATTAACTCCTTTTGTGGACGCGTTCTTCATGCAACAACGTGCAGAAACATGGCAACTAAACTCACAAAATTCACAGCGTTTTATTATAATAGTGTTCTCATTATGTTATGCATATGAAAGTCTGAGTCATAGTCATTAACATTCTGCATTGTTATTGGTCCTGCTCGCGCTCAGAGATAATCACTGTACAATGAAGCGCTTTACTGCAGCGTAACTCAACCAAGTACGTCTTATTCGAGATAAATAATATATACACCATATAAATAAACCGGCTGAAATGTTTTGAAATCACCTGTACCCTACCTGATCGAAAAAATCCAGTCTTTCACTCTGTCTGTCAATTTGAGTCTTGTTAAAGTTTTAAATCCCTGCCGCCAAGATACTCCTCTGTCAGTCACGGATTATGGAAAGTGCAACTTAAATCTAAAGGTGGTTGGATTTATTCATGCACGTTAAAATTTGATTTAAAAGCGTCTTTCTTTTCAGATTGTTATTCTTTATTTCTATGTGAAATCAGACATTGAGCACCCCCATATATTCAAAATGACATGATCATAACACCTCAGCGAATATTCGACTGTAAGATTGGGAGTCAAATCAGGCTCCTCCTATCGAAGCATCGAATCTTCGACTGTTCGGGGTCACCCCTATTGAATATTAACTAATGTTAAATATTACACAATGCAATTTATGTATAATTTAAAACTCTTAAATGTTTTCTTACTTGCTAACAACATATTTTAAATGACAGACAGACAGATAGACAGACAGGGAAGTATTTTTTGTAATGTTTACATTTTAAATGCTGCCGTGTCCATATTGTACATTTCAGCATCTATCCATTTGTACAAATTGTATGTTTTGCACATTGTAAAGGTTATGTACTATACATAGTACGAGACCATCAGACTGGAGAAGGAGATTCTACTCTCTCGTTCATTGGTTGCTAATATGAACATTCCTTGAATTGTTTTTACTGACAACTTAAGTTACTTTTCTATTGTAATACCGTGAAATAATGTTATTTAATTGTTGCTACAACAGAATATTTATTTTAGTGATACATTTTCTGCAAATGTATTGACCATACAAACAAAATAGCAATTCTATTATTTTGTGTGCTAATAATAATTATTATAAATTATATATGCTCATATAATTATTATTATCTAGTTATTACTAGTAATAATTAGTAATAGACCAGTATTTTGTTCATTGCAGGGGATCTTGTGGACTGGATCACAATCCATTGAGCAGAAGGAACAGGAGCAATCAAAAAAGAGTCATCAGAGACACTTGTGGTGCATCAACTTCAGAAAATGTCTTCTCCAAACAGTGAAACAAGCAGAAACAACAACAAATACAAAAACAAAGTTATTATTAAGACTGCTGCTCCAGTGAGCTTTTTGTTACTGACTTTTCAGGGGTTTATGGGTATAAAATTTTCATGCCCATGCAGCAATGGATGGAACATAGTTTTAACATTACTAATCTTGGTTGTGCCTGCCCTCTTTGGTTGGATAATGTTGTCACTATTTTTAAGATTTGAAGAACAAAAAATTAGTGGAGGTGGAGGGTTCCAAACAGACAGCAGAGGAAGATCTAAGTCTGAAAAATGGCTTTATCGTATGATTCGCTGCATTCCACCTCTAGTGTGGTTCTGTATATTTTTCATTGATGGTGATTATTTGGCATGTCTCACGACAACCTGGAATGGACAGTACACCTGTGATAAAAATATCCATCCTAATTGTGTGAGTTGGTGCAAACCTGAATCAAGCAATGGAAGAAATGAGACTGAAACATATAACAAAACACAATGGACAAATAATATATCAAAGGTAAATACCAAGTTTTTTTTTATCCCGCTCCATACAAGTTCTGAGCTTTGTCGAAAAATAAATAAAACAGAGATCACAACAGACCAAATATTTCAATTGAAAAAAAAAAAATATATATAGAAATCTGTAACACAGTACCTAGAAATCATTAATTAAATATAAATAAAACAATATTTCATAATCTATTAAATGTTTTAAATATCATTAAATATAGCATAATCAAACATAAAGACCTAATGATAAGAATGCTTTCATTAAGTTTTCATTAAGTGAAGGTAGAGAATTAAATCTCTGAACAGTGAACAAACTTTCAAACCAAAATATTTTGGAATTTACAGATTTTTTTATTTATTTATTATTTTAAGGGGCATGTTTCTCCAACAGAATTTGCAGGGAAATATTCATTTCTGTCCTAAACAATTAAATGTCACTATTTTTTATTTATTTATTTATTTTGACAAAAACAATTGTGTTCATAAACCATTAACATACATACCACATGCATATATAATGTTTTTGATTAATTAATTTATTTTCTTTATTTATTTGAAGGTAATAGGTTACTGCCTGGCCTTGCTCTTCTGCTTCATCGTCTTGATCATAATGTGTGTGAGTAAAGACGAGAACAGAACTTCATTGCGAAGGGACACCGTGTTAAACGGAGAAACTGGGACTGCCATGATAACCAGTGAAAGGGAGATGATGTTAACCCCTCAGAGGACCTCAGATGATGCCAACCCTGAAACAACAGACAGAACTACCACATTTTGCTATAAGTTTGATTGCATCATATAATAATTGCTGTTAATAGTGTTCATCGTCTGTTTTATTACTATTATGCCATTGTATGACATTTTTATTGCATGATTAATTGACCCTTTGCAGAGACCTGCCCCCTTCGTTACTGTTGCCATGTCTGACAAGCCATCCACTCTCACACCACACATTATGTTTTCACGCAGTGGAAAATACATTGCAGAGCAAACTGTAAAACTGTCTGACAAGACAGAGCAGGTTACTTTTGGCATGAAACAAAGTCTGCGCTTTCAAATGTTGTAATTTTTAAAGAAATTCAAAGAATAAATACGTTTTGTGGCTCTTTAATATGTCTGGTGATTCAAAGATTCAGCTTTATGATTGGTCAGATTGCCTGTCAATCAAACTCCCTGCAAAGGGTCAATTGCAGTACAAAGATCAAACCAAATGGGAAACCATTGTCTGAAGTTATGAGAGTTATGGAGGGTTTGCCATGGACACAATACAAGAAAGAACAGTCACTGCTCATTGGCCCACAAACAATCCGTTAAAAAAATAATTAAAAAAACCTGTTCTAATTGAAAGAAAACAAAACAACAAAAATATTAAAACCAATAATGTAGCATGAAAAGAGTTTTATAAGCAGTTTTTTTAGGCCAGTAATTTTTGACCAGGAGTGTAACCTCAGTGTAACCTTGTTTTCACCACAAATGTAACAAGGTGGAGAATTCGGCCAGAGACCAATGTGTTATAAACAAGTAAGTCAATCAAGCCTGTGTTAATGATACAGATATATAAAACTGTTTGAGTTATAAATTTTCACAAATGCCCATAAAAAATTTAGCTATTTCTGTATGAACAAGCGTTCTTTATGTAATAAACAGGATGTGTGTATATTGCACTCTGGGTACAGCACACGCTTTTCTCATGCAAGCACAGTCTTGCACACTTTCAGTAAGATGCTAATGGTGAGATCTGATCACAGATGTGGCCAAACATGTCTATGAAGTGTGTCCCTCAACATTATGAATGAAAATGAATTTTCACTTACAATGTAAGTAAATGCGGCCAATCCATAAATTTTAAAATACTCAATTGTACAGTATAGCCACAAGACTGATGATTGCGCACAAAAGCATACAATCGCTCTCATATGCGCGATGTTATTTTTTTCCCTTTCACTTTCATTTTTTAAATCTATCCAGTTCAGCGGGGAGGGGAGGGGAATAGGGGCACAGTAACTCATTTGGGGGGAGGGGCAAGGCCTGAGAATGGGCCTAACAAACTTGTTAATAGTTATTCTGGTGTTTAGGAAATAATTTCTCACCCTAACTGAGAATGACAAGTTTCTGATCAACCAATTGGAATTGACATGTAAATGTTGTTACATCACAAATCTGCAAAAATACAGAATGCTATAGATCTGTATCAATAAATGTTTGTTCTACATTCTGATAATTCAGTGCAAAACTACAATGCAAACTTATATCTCTAACAACCTGGAAAATATGCTAATCCATTGGCTTGACCCCCTTAACTGTTTAATGCATAATCACATTTATTTCCAGTAATGCATGGACTTAAATTGTCATTATAATGATTCCATATAGTTCTATGTGATTTCTAAACTCTTTCATAAACACATTCACTCTAAAGGTATTCTTGCAAAAAAAAAAAAAAATTGTTTATGTTTTAGATGATTTCATCTATGCCCCAGTGCTGTGAAATGCACAAAAAATGTACAAAAATATTTACAAACACAAATACTAAGTTCACCCTGTACAATGTGCTCTACAGCAAGAGATTTGCTCTGTATTGCTTCCCTGTGATTATGTCTATATCAAGTGAAGTCACTTTGGCGTTCTAATAATGTAATAATTCCTCAGGGTTGGATTGTTTCAATTGGCTATATATATATATATATATATATATATAAACACAACTACATTTTCACTGTACTTGCAAATTCTGCATACAGTTCACCGAACATTGCTGAATAGTTGTCAAACCATATATATAGTTAGTTATCAAACTATATGTTTTTATATGTTGTGTATGACACATCAGTCATGTTGTAAATATAAATTCCTTTGTGCAGACATATAAAGTATTTATTCTAGAGTGATTTTCAGTGCTTTGTCAAGTTGCTCACTGACAGTTCTGTTGTTTGTTAATTTGTGTGCGGACACAAAAGAAGAAATAGAAATATTGTCATTCTACTGTAAATACAAAAGTTAAGAAACCACTTAAAACACTTTTTGTATATAAATATCGCGTCTATGGTGGTTGTAACATGGCTGCTGTCTAAAGAGCGCACAACACAGGAGTAATCCAAATAACAGTCTTTTATTAGAATCCACAAAGTAAACACAAGGAGTGGCTAAAGGCTCTCCAAGGATCGCAGCTGCAGAATAGCGAGATTAGTTGAATCTTGGGTTCAGAAAGCCCCTACATCACCATATGTTGTTTGGGAGGGTTTCAAGAAAAACAAATCAAGAAAATAAAACGCTTTCATCCAAAAACAAACTCCAGAATATTCATTTGCCAGACACTACTGGAACTTCAAACAGGACTGGGTTCTATGGTCAGATAAAACTAAAAATGAGCTTTTTAGCAGCAAACACTCAAGATGGATTTGGTGCACACCGGAGTAAAAAAGTACCCCATGTGTACAATGAAATATACTGCTGGACCTTTAATGTTGTTGGTGTATTTTTCTGCCGGAGGTCCTGGACATCTTGTTTAGATTTGTAACATGGCTGCTGTCTAAAGAGCGCACAACACAGGAGTAATCCAAATAACAGTCTTTTATTAGAATCCACAAAGTAAACACAAGGAATCTAGGAGCAGGGTAGCACAACACGTTGACACAACTAATAGCAGACAAAGGACCGGGGAGAACACAGGACTTAAGTATTAGAAAAGTAATCAGGGAGAACTGAAACAGGTGTGGCGTAAATTAATCAAAAACCATGGAAACTAAATGGGCAAGGAACAAAGGAGAGCAAGAACCAAATATAAATCTAGAAAACTGATTAGAAGACACACACGGAACGTGACAATGGTAAATTTCCATACAGATTTCTCAGATATTGCAAAGATGTTTCTCCCCTGCCCCTCCGGAGGTCTGTGCATGCACTGGGATGCAGGAATGTGTTGTCTTGTCATGCTCTTGAAACGAGTAAATATAAAATAAGTCTTTTTTTATGTGGGTGACCCCTCCAATACATTTCCTTTTAATGCATTTATTTAGACTAGATGCATTCCACAGATTATTTTATAGGAGGAGCCAAATGCACCATAAAAATGTCTTTACTGTCTTCACTGTTGTTATTCGTTCTTTGGTCATTTTGTTAATTGAATTCTAGGACATTATAGACTAAATCAAAAACACTGAAAATATTATTAGAGCGTTCTCTGAATAGGTTTCAGATGAAACCCACTGGATTACTGAAAAAATCTAAATCTGGCTAACAATTTTGGAAATAAGTGTTCAGTTCAGAAAGTTCTCTTCAGAAACGTTCTGAAGTGTTCAGTGAAGTGTTCAGAAAGTTCTGTTATTTTCTGAGAGTATGTTGGTTTTGCAAGACAGGTCATTATAGCAACAGTTCTTAATTTGGACAGTAAACAGGTGCTCCTTAATATGACAGCAATAAAGCCATAATGACTGATAAAAAAGCTTTTAAAGAAAAAAAAAAAAGCAGAAACAGTGTAATGAATGAAAACAGATCAGACAGACCTACACTGTAAACCTGGTATAACGCACTTACTTTACTTGAAAAGTTAACTAATATTTACCTAGCTACTGTTGTGCATGTATACTGATAACTGAACTGAGTAAATGTAACCCTAAAAAACGTTGGGTTATTTACTGTACCCAATATCTGGGTTAAACATGTTGGGTCGCTTTGTTGGGTTATTCCTACTTTTATTGGGTTATTTCTATAACAACGCAACCAGTTGGGTTAAAATTGTAAATTCCAACGGTTGATCTTTGCAACTGCGACAGAAGATACAGCGGTAAATTAATATTTGTGCGTAATGTTGTTTTTCATTACAAAGTGTAGCAAAAGCCCTGACACAGTAATATTGCTGTTTTTCTACGAGTAGGCTATGTGTACATCTCCCCTGTTGACTGATATTTTAATCCGTTTTATCTGCACTCTTGACAAACGACGCAAGCGCTTTGTAGCCGATCAATTTCAAACGTATATAAAAAAATTATCCTTATTAGCCTCTTCATCCTGTGTCGCATCCACTCTGAGTGAAGGTATGTCACAATGCCGTAATTCCTCCATACACGTCTTAACTATACCACGTGGGTACACAACGATATGGATAAATGTTAATAATAAAAATGAAAAAAAGATCAGCTAAACACTTGCATTTTTTTCAAAAGCACACACTTTGTGCTCAAAAAGAGGCTAAAATTCAAAATAATCAGCTTAATTAAAGACCCATTTCCAAAAGCACAAACATAAAATTACATTTTCAATGTTCAAAAAGTTTGTACTTTTTTGTGTGTATACATACAGTTGTTCTCAAATTATGATCAAAGTCCGGATTGTTTATCCATTTGATCTTTAATAAAAAAAAAAAAAAATCTAACTTTAATTGAAGTTAAAAAAAAGTGAAAGTGGGGGAAAAATCACATTATGAAATAAATATTTTTCTCTAATACACAATGGCCATAATTATTGGTACCCCTAGGTTTATTAATTGTTATGATTAAAATATATCTGAAGTATTCATATTTGCATTTTTTTATCACACCAGGGTGAGTGTGAACATGCAATTATCTAGCCATTGCTTCCTGTTTCACTTGATTAAAATATGAGGGAAAACAAAGGCCAAATTCCCTTAATCACTGATCACAATGAGTATAACCAAAGAATATAGTTCTGATGTGCAGCAAAAGATAACTGAACTTCACAAATTAGAAAGTGGCTGTAAGAAAAGAGCTAAAGCATTGAAAATTCCCATTTCCACCATCAGGGCAATAA